CACTACGCAGCCGGTGGGCGGAGCCTCGGGCCGCCCCGTCGTGATTGGACGGTGGTGGACCGTAGTGTGCGGCCGCCGGATACCTTACACTGACACTTGGGGTCCCAGAACAATGACAGACTGACACTTGGGGTCCCAGAACAATGAAACACTGACACTGGGAATCTCAGAACAATGACACACTGACACTTGGGGTCCCAGAACAATGACACACTGACACTTGGGGATCCAGACCAATGACACACTGGCACTTGGGGGTCCAGACCAATGACACACTGGCACTTGGGGTCACAGAACAATGACACCCTGACACTTGGGGGTCCCTAAACAATGACACACTGAGACTTGGGGTCCCAGAACAATGAAACACTGACACTTGGAGGTCCCTAAACAATGACACACTGACACTTAGGGATCCCAGAACAATGACACACTGACACTTGGGGGTCCAGAACAGTGACACACTGACACTTGGGGTCCCAGAACAATGACACACTGACACTTGGGGGTCCAGAACAGTGACACACTGACACTTGGGGGTCCAGAACAGTGACACACTGACACTTGGGGGTCACAGAAGAATGACACACTGACACGTGGTCACAGAACAATGACACACTGACACTTGGGGTCCAAGAACAATGACACACTGACACTTGGGGTCTCAGAACAATTACACGCTGACACTTGGGGTGCCAGAACAATGACACACTGACACTTGGGGTGCCAGAACAATAACACGCTGACACTTGGGGTCCCAGAACAATAACACGCTGACACTTGGGGGTCCAGAACAATGACACACTGACACTTGGGGTCCCAGAACAATGACACACTGACACTTGGGGGTCCAGAACAATGACACGCTGACACTTGGGGTCCCAGAACAATGACACACTGACACTTGGGGTCCCAGAACAATAACACGCTGATACTTCAGGGCCAGAGCAATGACACACTGACACTTCAGGGCCAGAGCAATGACACGCTGACACTTGGGGCCCCAGAACAATGACACGCTGACACTTGGGGCCCCAGAACAATGACACCCTGACACTTGGTGTCCCAGAACAATAACACGCTGACACTTGGGGTCCCAGAACAATGACACGCTGATACCTCAGGGCCAGAACAATGACACACTGACACTTGGGGTCCCAGAACAATAACACGCTGATACTTCAGGGCCAGAGCAATGACACACTGACACTTCAGGGCCAGAGCAATGACACGCTGACACTTGGGGCCCCAGAACAATGACACCCTGACACTTGGTGTCCCAGAACAATAACACACTGACACTTGGGGTCCCAGAACAATGACACGCTGATACTTCAGGGCCAGAACAATGACACGCTGATACTTCAGGGCCAGAGCAATGACACACTGATACTTCAGGGCCAGAGCAATGACACGCTGACACTTGGGGCCCCAGAACACGAGAGCAGATCATTAATTTACTGTAAACAGACAAAGTGCTTTGTTGTGATAAACACAAGAACATGACATGTTTACCTCCTTAAAATGACCATTCCCCATCCCCTGTCTCCTCCTCCCATGTGTCACCGGATTCCTTCCAAAGGTGACACCCTCCTCCCTGCAGCAGGATAAACACTCCTGGAACACATCCAGGCCATACAATGAGAAATTTGTACCTAATTCCAACTAACTTCTTAAAGATAATAAGATTGAAAGCCAATCAGATATTAAACTGTATCTAAACCCAACAGCAAAAATCTACCACATTGCAGCACACTTCCTGTCCTTAGGGTGACAACACTCACCTTAATGTATCTTTGAAGAAGAAGCATTGTCACCCTAGGACAGGAAGTGTGTTAGGACTACAGAACAGACCTTCCCATCTTCTCTTCTACATAACAATATGGTAGAGGTGTTCTATAGTCCACAAATGTGAACTTGGCAGGGCTGATTACACTGCTTTAGATAACAGACTCAGGATGTGGCACTTAGCACCGAAAGCGATGTAGTTGGAGATTTCGATGAGTTGGAGCTTTCGATAGAACACCGGCAAGTTCCAAGGTATGACAATGTGACATCTCTGAGTCTGCTGGGGGCTACCAACACCACTTCCAAGATGGTACACCCAGCAGCAATCTCAGGGCTTTTAGATATCTACACACGATCTAAGGGAGGTTTTTCCAGGTAAATAACACATAATATAAATGAAATGCAAATTTAATTTAACGTGTAATGTCAGGATTGGATGATGTTGTGTTCTTGCTAATTTGCGCTGGATGACCTTTAGTTTGCTAAAGCACTAAAACGGGATATTGGTGTATAGCCATTTGGTGTATCCCACCAGAAAGGTCCTTGTATAAGCTCTTCCTGTTGTGGGATGACAACTGTCTCCCCGTTGTTCTCTTATGTTGTCAACCTGCCACAGGGCTGTAGCTACCATGGGGCGAGTGAGGCACACAGCTGAGGGGGGCGCAGGGTTGGCCTGGCTGCGCCCCCTCGCCCCTGTTGTCATGGCGAGCACATGCTCCAAAACAGCCGCGGCTCGGCAGGGAGAAGAAGGGTGGCACAGGCTCCAGCTTCTTCTCGGATCCCCGCTGCTCTCCCCCGCCTGTATGGGAATGGAGGGAGCTGTCATTCAGGACTGCCTAGAGGTGAGGAGAGAGCCGCTCGACCAGGATCTGATGTTTGGCCATTCTGAAGTGACAGCGCTCCCTCCTCCCCCCTTTTATTCCCCCCCCCCCCCCCGCGCTCCCCAGGGGG